ACTTGGGAGGCTGAGGCAGGAGAACTGCTTGAACCCGCGAGGTGGAGGTTGCAGTGAGCCGAGATCATGCCAATGCACTCTAGCCTGGCGCCTGGCAACAGAGCAAAACTCTTGCACAAAAAAAAAAAAAAAAAAAAGGAACAGATGACTTGAACAACATAATAAACCACGTAGCTCTGACAGACATGGCAAAGCGCTAGGTCCACAATGGGTGCACACTGTCAGCACACACGGGACGTTCTCCAGGACAGAACACGAGTGAACCACAGACTCAGCCACAGCAGGTTCAAAACAACAAACATCCTCCAAAGTATCTTCGCCAACCACATCGAGATGATCTTAGAAATCAGTTAACAGGCCGGGCGCGGTGGCTCATGCCTGTAACCCCAGCACTTTGGGAGGCCAAGGCAGGTGGATCACCGGAGGTCAGGAGTTTGAGACCAGCCTGGCCAACATGGTGAAATCCCATCTCTATTAAAATAAAAAAGAGACAGAGAGACAGAAAAAAAAAAACCGGAAAGCTTTTCTTTGAGTATCAAGAGAAAAGCAAGGATGATTGATTACACCACTTTTATTCAACAAAATAGTGGAATTCTAGCAAGAATAATTAAGAAAGAAATACAAGGCATCCAAATTAGGAAGGAAGATGTAAAATTATCTCTTTACAGAGATGATATGATCTTACATATAAGAAAGCCCTAAGCCAGCCGCAATGGCTCATGCCTGTAATCCCAGCACTTTGGGAAGGCGGGATGGGTAGGTCACTTGAGCCTAGGAGCTGGAGACTAGCCTGAGCAACATGGCAAAACCCCGTCTGTACAAAAAAAAAGTTAGCGGAGCACGGCGAGGCGCACCTGTGATCCCAGCTACTCGGGAGGCTGAAGCACAAGGACCACTTGAGCCTCGGGGGCAGAGGCTGCAGGGAGCCATGATCGAGCCACTGAACTCCAGCCTGGGCGACAGGGCAAGACACCGTCCCTCCTCCCAAAAAAATGTGAAGATGGCAAAAATAGATGTTATGTACCTTTTACCAGAATAGATAACAGAGACCTGCAGTGCTAAGAAGGCCCCAGCATGGACGAACCTTAGGAAGGTCGGGGGGAGGAAAGAACAAGCAGGATTTAACTGACACCAAATGTCCAGAACCCGCAGGGCCACAGAGACAGAGGCCAAGTGGAGGCGGCCAGGCTGGAGAGGGACAGGAAGTGACCACTGACGGGGCTGGGGCTGGAGAGGGACAGGGAGTGACCGCTGACGGGGGCCGGGGCTGGAGAGGGACAGGGAGTGACCGCTGACGGGTGCTGGGGCTGGAGAGGGACAGGGAGTGACTGCTGACAGGACGCTGGGGCTGGAGAGGGACAGGGAGTGACCGCTGANGGGAGTGACCGCTGACAGGGCTGGGGCTGGAGAGGGACAGGGAGTGACCGCTGATGGGCGCTGGGGCTGGAGAGGGACAGGGAGTGACCGCTGACAGGCGCTGGCGCTGGAGAGGGACAGAGAGTGGCCACTGACAGGCACGGGGTTTCCTTTCTGAACATATTTTGGGTTTGGAACTATACAGAGGAAGGTGGTAGTTTTAAGTATGGTTTAGAATTTTTAAAAAAATCTATAAAACCAATTAAATTCAGACACACATAGAATGTGCCAGAAGGTCCTCTGCTGACGGGCCCATGGTGCAGCTGCAGGCCTGCCCTCGTCCACCTCCGGCGCCCTCTGTCCACCATCCACACCTCCCAGTCTGACCCTTCTCACTGACCCTGGGCAGTGCTGCCTGAGGTCAAAAACCCCTGTGAACACCCCACAGACGCTAAAACCACAAAGCCCGGGGCAGCGGCTACTGGTGACCAGAGCAGGGTGTCCTGTCCTAGGTAAGCACCGAAGTCAGAGTAAAAGTGTAGGATGTTAGGGAGAGCGCCAGCCCCGAGGCCTGGTGGCCTGGACGCCGTGTGGGCAGTATGAGAACACACACACTCTTGACACCAGTGCCATGAAACCCACGCCACATCCGGGTGGACATCAGACACCGGGCAGGGCAGGGATCCTCACCCCCAGCACCCGTCTCTGGCCTTCTTGACAAAGACTCCCCGCAGATGCTCCGGTGGAATGTCCCCAGCCAGGCTGAGGGGCCCCCAAAGCCGTGGAGCCACCCCTGGTCAACATCTCAAGGACCTACTCACGCGTCCCAGGAGGTCCTTCCTCAGGGCTTGGCCACGTTCTCCGAATTCCCCACAGTGACTCAGCTGCCACCCCCACGATACACCCCCCTACAGAGCCCCAGGCCCCTGGGCATGCTGTGACCATAACGTCCCGTTCTGCCAATGCAGGGCCGGGCCAGTGTGGGCCTCCCTTCCCTACACGAGGCCAGCAGGTCACCCACGTGGGCAGAGACAGGCCACTGAGGTTACAGACAGAAAGAGCAGACCTCAGACCCCAGCAGCACTGAGATGAGAGGTAAATCTGTCGCAGGAATACACCAGGCTTCCCCGTTCCTGGGCTACACTGGCCGCACGGGGACACCCTTGGGTGTGTGCAGTCTCAGCACAGGTGGGACAGATGAGCACAGTCCTGTCACCAACTCAAAAAGTCATCCAGGTGGCAAACAAACACGGCCCGTGGGTCCCCTCCTATGGAGAGCAACATGAGGCTGCAGGTTGCCGTGGAGGGGACAACCATTGTCTCACCCACGGGAGCGCCTGTCTTGTTTACGCGTTTCTGCATCTGTAAAAATGCACAGATGATTACGGTTACCCGTGCCCTCCCAGGGTCCATGCTCCAGGGTCTGTGGGGCATGGGCACCCAGAGGAAGGATCCCGGGAAAGGTCACCACTAGGACAGCCGTGGGGGGTGACCGGGGCAGCCATGGGGGGTGACCGCGGCAGCCGTGGTGGTGACCGGGGCAGCCGTGCGGGGTGACCGGGGCAGCCGTGGTGGTGACTGGGACAGCCGTGCGGGGTGACCGGGGCAGCCGT